CTCCCCCTCCGAATAACTTTCGCTTTCACACGCCAATGCAAGCAAACTCCTGGGCCTTTTTACTGTGTTCTTTTCCCCTTTCGCCCGATGTAACTCACGTGTCGGCGTAGCTGGCAACTCTCCTGCAGTAGTACCTCCGCCGGGAGGGGTCGGCACCGAACAACGTACCCTCCCGACCCCAAAACAGCTACTGCCATCCAGGGACCCGGCGCGCTTCCTGTACCTGCCCGCCTCGCATCTCTACAGGTAAGAAATTGGCTCTTGTTAGACGGAAGGTTCAAACACCCCCCCCCGCCCCGTTTTTTCAAAGCGGGGCGTCTCGAAGAGGGGTAAAATGGGGGCTACCGCCACTTTCGTTTTTGGGGAGGTGGAGGGGGAACGGGGAATGTCAAGGGCTGGGTCCTAACTAGGATAGCGGGCGGGTGGGGCTTCGGGGGCTCTTTCCCCATAACCTCGATGAGGTTGGAGCTGGGGGCTTGGACGCGTGGGGCAATTCCTCTGTAGCTTGGCTTAGCCCTCTCCCAATCCCAACTCAGGAATTCGGAGTTTTCTGCAGGCGAACTACTCTACCTGCTGGTTAGGCTTGTTTTGGCTGCAGGAGCGGGATGGCTGAACGTGGGAACGAGGGGATGGGGGTTTAGCTTAACAGAACCTCCCTAGTTAGGTGTTTATGGAGATTCTCAATCATCCGGGTCATGGGTTGCCCGATAGGTGCTTTTTCAGGAGGCAACTGGACTTTTCTTGTTTTTCTTTGAAGACTTTTCGCTTCTCATCCAAGAAGCTTCTTTCAGCTCTGACTGGGTGGATAGTGGGTCATTCTTGGATGCTTTTTGGAGGAGAAGCCTCCAAAGTCTTCAAAGAGAGACAAGGAAGTCCAGTTGCCTTCTGAAGAAGTACTTTTGGGGCTCCGTGGTAGGGACTGATAATCATGACGTCCGAGAACTGGTCTCCTGGTGAACTTCCTGGGCTCCTATGGCGCTTAGGCTGGTATCAGTGATGGGGTTGAGCCCCCATTTTTAAGGGGTTCTGGATGGAGCTTCCTCATGTGGCTTCGGATGGACAGCTCCGTTTTCCAGCCAGGTGGAATCCTGCGGCAGCCCTATTTTCCCCCCTCTCTGATGCCTTCCTTGTGTGTTGTTGTTTTATTTTTACATAATGAAACAGAACTTTTCCTGATACAGGTAGTCCTCAACTTATAACAGTTCACTTAGTGACTTATGACCATTTTTCACATTTACAACCATTGCAGCATCCCCATGGTTACGTGATCAAAAGTCAAATGCTTGGCAACTGACTCGTATTTATGACGGTTGCAGTTTCCTGGGGTCAGGTGATCCCCTTTTGTGACCTTTTGACAGGCAAAGTCAATGGGAAAGCCAGATTCACTTAACAACCATGTTATTAACTTAATGACTGCAATGATTCATTTAACAACTGTGGCAAGAAAGGTCATAAAATAGGCAAAGCTCACTTAACAGCTATCCACTTAGCAACATAAATTGTGGGCCCAACTGTAGTCATAAGTCAAGGACTACGTGTTTTTAAGCTTTAGTGATGCTCCACTACCCACAGAGCAGAAAAATTTGGGCTGTGTATGTGTATCTCAGCAAGCCATCTAAGGATGAGGAAAGGTGATTAGAAAGTTAACTGTGTCTGTTCCTCCCCCACATCCTTTTTGTGCTAAATCTTTGCAAGGCAAGAAGAACACAATTTTGCAAAGCTCCTCAAGGCACAGTGCAACTGAAAGGGGTGGGAAGAATTTCCCTTCTCCCCCCCCCCTTATTTATATGAAGCTTTTGAAAAACAAACATCAAAAGCTGCGCTGCTGTCTCAGATGACCCATAAGATACAGCGAAGAAAAAATTCCCCTTTGCCAATGAAAGTGTGATTGAAATGAGTTTTGGCATATACATCGCAGTAATATTTGATTAATGCGGTTGATATCATGAATGATAATTGTGTGAACGGATGCAATGAGACTGCATGTCATATAAACAGTATAACCTGCCAGTGTGAAATCAGAAAAGTTCTTTGTAATTGATATTATTTTGACATGGAAACTGCTTTGGTGGTTTGTGTAGGGTCAAAGCTAGTTTAATAAGAGCTTCAGAAGGGATTTTAGTTTTTTTCTAGCTATTTAAAAGCAACCCCTTTTCTGCTTGTCTTAAAGACAGAATCTTCCATTTATTGGTGCTAAGTCAAAGAATGAACCTCGGTTGGTCTTGAAAAATGAACAGGACCAGACCTGAAAAAGACTAGGAACAAAACCCCAGGATAACAGGGTAAAGTAGAAACTGAGGCAGTGATAGGGGGTGGAAGATGGGGGCAAGAAGAAGACAACCCGCAAATCACTTCTAGAAGTTTTTTCCCCACTTATTTATACGGTTTTGAAAAACAAACAGCTGCGCTGCTGTCTCAGCTGACCCATAAGATACAGCAAAAAAAAATTCCCTTCTCTGCCAGCAAAAGTGTGATTGAAATTACTTTTGACATATACATTATAGTAATATTTGTTTAATGTGGTTGATATCATGAATGATAACCAGTTTAGAAAACTGGTGAACATGTGCCTAATGTTATCAGGAGACAATTTGAAGAGTAGGATTTCTTTATAATACATTTTTCAGAATCTTCCAGCTCAGTGCAATGTGATGCACCATATGCCTGGAGCCCAAGGAAGTAAAGAAAATAAAAACCACTAAGTTAAAATTAAGATTTAGTGTGGGGAATTTTGGGAGTTGAAAAACACTGCCCTGCTCTTTTTGCGATCTTCTAAAAATTAAATAGTTTCAGTTTACTTTTTTTCCACTTAGAAATAATATACTTTGCTGTTAATAATCTATTACCTTCTAACATTTTATGAAGATTTAATGTCCTAGCTGTAATGAATCATCAAGTAAAATGTTTCTATGGTACACAGTAGTCTTTATTTTTTGTTTTTTGATTGTCGCTACAGAGTTTCTCTTGGCACCATCTGAGTTCCCTGCCAAACCTTTTTTTCCCTTCCTTTAAAAAAAAAAGTGTTCAGTAAAAATAAGAAAGGTGGCATATTTCAAAATAAAACACCAGCCCAATATCATCTTTTTTCTAAGAATTCCCGTAGCCCCCTAATGAGTTTTACTTCCTTTTCAGAAAATAAAAATGATGGTTGGATGCAATGCAGTGTAAATGCACCCATTAACCCCCTGCAAAAAAAATAAAGGTGAAGAAGCCATTTGGAAATCTCCTGGGGAAGATTCTGCTAAATTTGGGGATCAGTTTTTGTGAGAGCTCTTCTAATTTGCTCTTCTAATTTTAAATTAGTTCTCCAGCCTCTTGGCTTTCTTGCAGTTTTTATGTGAAGAAAGTTTCATGTTGAATCCCTGAAATCTCCAGTAAAGGAACTGCTGGTAGATATCCTGTTCAGACATTTCTTGAACAACTTGGAGAAATTTGTGCAATAGATAGCATTGGACTAAATCACTGTTTCTCAACCTTGGCAACTTTAAGATGTGTGGACTTCAACTCCCACATTTCCCCAGCCAGCCAAGCTGGCTGGGGAATTGTGGGAGTTGAAGTCCACACATCTTAAAGCTAGATAAGCAAAGGAAGTTATTCAGTATTCAACAGGTTCATATATTCAGTGGCTCTATTACCCTTCCATGTCTAACTGAGCGCCATATACTCTCCGGGTAGAGTCCTCTGCCCAATGGGGCATCTTAGCCTCTGAAATTCAGCAGACCACACCCTTTTAACTTTCTGTAAATCCTTAGAACTTGATTTCCATCCCCCCCCCCCAAACTTTGAGAGACTAGAAATGATACATTTGCATGGATTGGCCCCGGATGTTTATTTTTATTTGCTTTTTAATGTTTTACATTTTAACCGAGTATGTTTTGCAGTTTGTAAAATAATGTTTATTGGGAGCCGCTGGGACTTGTCTGAAAGATGGGCAACTACGTAAATGTTTTAAATAAATAAATACATTTCAACTATTAGACGTGCGTGATATTCTGTGATTTATTAAAAAACAGCCAGCCATCGGTTGGGTCATGATGCCTAAAGGGGAAATTGTCTAAGGATAGGAGTAAAAAGGAATGGTGTAGAACAGGGGTCTTCAAACGTGGCCCTTTTATGACTTGTGGACTTCAACTCCCAGAATTCCTTAGCCAGGCACGCTGGCTGAGGAATGCTGGGAGTTGAAGTCCACAAGTCATAAAAGGGCCAAGTTTGAAGACCCCTGGTGTAGAAGAAGGAAGTATTAAGTGCTTTAAAATGCCTACTTAGAACTTGTGTGAGAAAACTCTAGAAGATCCTACATCCAGAAGACAGAAAAATAACCTCTGGTCCTCAATTTATGATCACAGTTGAGCCATTGCTAAGTGAGGCGATTGTTAAGTGAGTGGCACCTCATTTTTATGTCTTTTTTGCCATTGTTGCTAAGTGTATTGCTGCAGTTGTTATGCGAATCCTATGGTCATTAAGCGAATTTGGCTTCCCCCATTGAATTGGTTTGTCGGAAGCTGGCTGGGAAGGTTATAAATGGTGATCACATGTTCCACATGTCATAATACATGCCAGTTGCCCAGTGCCCAAATTTTGATTACATGACCATGGGGCCGCTGCAACAGTCACAACCTTTCTTACCACAGTTTTTTAAGTCAATCACTGCACTTGTTAAATTAGTCACACAGTTGTTAAGTGGATCTGGCTTCCCCATTGACTTTGTTTGTCAGAAGGTCGCAAAAGGGGATCACATGACCCCTGGAACCTGCAACCGTCATAAATATGAGTCATTTGCCAAGCATCTGAATTTTTATGACATGACCATGGGGATGCTGTAATGGTTGTAAGCGTGAAAAACGGTCATAAGTCACTTTTTTCAGTGCTGTTGTAACTTCAAATGATCGGTAAATGAACTGTTGTTAGTTGAGGATTACCTGTACTGACTATTTTTAACTGCATGGTGTCTTTCGCTGCTTAATCTTAATCAACGTGCTTTCTTTTATTCCAGAACCTCTTCCCCTCTTTTTTAGGGGAAACCTCAGCATGCTGGCCACTTACCAAACTATGTGGAGATGATTTGGTATCACGGAACTCCAGATTCTTCTGTGGTAAGTCAAATGATATCAGTTGATGACAGCTGTCTCCCATTGCTTGCCTTTCAGAGGTAGTAAACTACATGTCCCACAATTCCTGGGCAGCACGGCCAGTGGAATCCTAGGAGCTGTATTCCTTTTTTAATAATGTTATTATTATTTTTTTCTTAATATAAAATACAAATGAAAATAGACAGTAGGGTAAAAGGAAAAGAAAGTGAGGAAAAAAGAAAGAAAAAAAATAGTGATTTCCAATTTTTTGGGGTGCAGCAAATTATATATTAAAAATGATAACCTCCAACTTTTTATTTATATAAGAATAGCATTAGCCATTTCTGTAACAAAAACCTATTTAATCATCAAAACCTAAAGTTAGAATTTCATTTTCCCCCCTCTTTTGAGCAGAAAGTCTAGAATGGAAACAAATTTACAGTAGATACATTCTTATCCCTAATTAAGACAGTTAATTTTGCCATTTCTACCAATTCCATCGCTTTTTCAATCCATGGAGTTGACATACCTTTCCATTTTTATGCATATCCGATTCTTGCTGTAGTCAGCACATATAATAACAAAGTTCCAACTTTTTTTCAAGTTCTTTATCCAGTAGTCCTAAAAGAAAAATTTCAGATTTTGATTATATATTCATTGTCTGATTCTTGGGGAGCTGTATTCCTGACATATTTGCAGAGTCCCAGCTTCCAAAAAGCTTCTGTATTGCAAACTACTCTTGTACTTTAAAAGGGATTCAGAAAGAAGACGGAAGTTAAGATTATCAGAACATTGGAAGTTGAATTGTGGTGAAAAAGAATCGGGGATGTTTAGCCTTAGGAAACAAAGAGATCTTTGGAGGTTAATATCTGTAGATGCACATAAAAGGGTCAGGTCCTCTATCATGTTAAGGCCGCCATCTTGATTTTTTAATCTCATCTCACCCGACACTCCTGATTCTCCTGTATCGTTTCCAAGCTATAAAATTCTCATCCTTCGGTTCTCATTTTCTACCTTTTGCAATCAAGAATCACAATTGGCAATGCTTTTCTTACCATCTTGCACACAGGTGCCCCTAAAAGTGATCAAGGCACATTTATTTTCCCAGGCTTTTGATCATAACTGTTGTTAACACTTTTTTCTCTATTTGATTTTGTATTTTACTTCGGCAAGTTAAACTAGGAACAAGAAATTCTCAAGACAGAGATTTGGTTCTGTCAAGAAGTCACCTAGTGCAAAGATTGAAAAGTACAAGGCTAAGCACCCAATAAACCATGAAAAAAGTCTGGGTATAAGAAAGAGTTCCACTTCATTAGGACACTAGTCAACTGTTTAGAGTAGTTATTTCCTAGCCATAAAGAAGATTTTTATCTAAGTGAGTCCCAATTAGCATCTAAGCAGTTTCTACTGAGACAGAACAAAAAAGCAAGATAGAATAAAATAAATATTAATCAACTAATCCAGCCTCCACACATCCCTCAAGCTTTATTAACTGTGAACGGGACATTCTAATATAGAACAAGTAATCTAATAAAGCCACTGAATAAATAAATAAACCAACATATAGGCAACTCATCTAGTTTAACCCTCAAAGGGCATGCTTTTTTTTTTGACAGATTTGGAATTTTAAGAGGGTTTGTTTTAAGTAGCTTCACTTGCCTGGGTTCATACATCATGCTAAGTCATAATTCACTTATGTTATTAAGGAAACCACAGCTATGCAAAGTCCAAGCCAAGGAAACCACATTATCACTTAACATAATATGCAATTTAACTATTTCATGGACATTTGCTGGATTTACATGTTAAACTTAGTCATAAGGTTTTGGATTAATATGTGAGTATCCAACCAAAAGTAGTCTATAATCATGATTTAGCTTAGTATTAATAAGGCTGACATGACTAATCAACAAACTGTGACTAAAATAGACTAAGATTAAAAACCATTGTTGAGCATCATTTCTGAACCCAATAGTGCCGTGGTGGCGAGCCACAGGTGGCACGCAGAGCCCTCTCTGTGGGCACTCGCACCATCGCCTCAGTCCTAGGCCTTCAGCTGGGTTTATAAAACCTTTTTGCTTTAGGCCTCCGCCGCCATGTGCAAAAAAAAAAAAAGGTTCAATCAATCAATCAATTTCAACTTCTCGCGGGGAAAAAAAAAGATCTCGCAAAGTTGAAATTGATTGATTGAACTTTTTAGTCCCACCCAGTCTACCATTACTACTGCAGCCATGCCCACCAATTGGCCATGCCCACACAATGGGCCACACCCACCCAATGGGCCATGCCCACCCGGTACCCGACGATACGTAAGTGGGTTTTGGATTGCAGTTTGGACACTTGGTCTCTAAAAGGTTCGCCATCACTGCAATAATGTATTAAACCACTTTAGATCTCCTTTTAGTCAGGAGAAAGTGGCGATCAAAAATGTAAATAAAGCATGAAAGTCTTTTTTCTGAAAAAACATATAGTAATATAACAATCCATTACCATCATTTTAGCCATATGGCAACTTTGCAAGATGAATAGGCTAGTCTTGGGCTTAGCTCACTTTAATTCTAAGACCTAGAATTAGCTAACTTTAATTCTAAAGCTAGGCTAGTAACTTCCATACCTGTGTAATAATTGAACCCAGGACCGTTCAACAGATGCACCACAAATGTTCCCAAAATTAAAACAATTGGGATCTAGATTCAAATGACAGTGTGAAAGAGCACGAAGTGTTACTAGAGCACTGCTGGAATGTAAAAAGAGATTTTGAGTGACACAAGAACATTGATACCACAAAAATTCCCATGAGGAGTTACATTAGGTCACACATTTCAAGTGCTTTGTTGGCGGCAATGAAATTGTTCCCCAAACTGGCATCGTTAAGACATATTTGGAATAGACTTCTGTCCCCAAGTTATAAATGGCTGACCCATCATGCCATTAGAGTATTTCAAAACTATTAGGTATTTCCTAATTTCTTTCTTTTTTTAAAATAAAAGAAAAGGAGGAAGAAGACGGTTTCTTGGAATGATTCTCTGAATGAAACACACACTCTTAAATATTTGCAGAAGAGGTTATCTTGATCTACAAAACAAGGATGGCACTCAAAAAGGACTTCAGAAGCCTATGGATGAGATAAGAGGAATAAAGTCAGGAATGTACCAATTGAAGAGAATATATGTAGTTCAGAGTTGAAGTCTAGAGTCCTTGGTGCTCTCTGAGCTTGAAGATGTTACCTAGTTGAATAATAAAACATCTGCAAGAAAACAACCAAGCTCAGAGAGCACCAAGGACTCCACTCAGTAATAGTTTTTATTACTGTAATTAAAATATTCAGTAAAACTCATGTAGAGATACATAGATACAGATAAAATGGAATGTGCCAATTGTCTTCCAGGTCTTGCTGCTCGTATTGCTGTTTTTCTCCCCATTTGGGCCACTCAAGGGCTGCAAGTTTGATTATTCTCCCATCGCAACTTCTGACTTTTCCCAGGATATAAAACCACTGGTGAGTATGAGTATATTGCATAGTTCAGCAGGCTGCCAGCCCCATTTGGTAGACCAGAGCAGGAAATTACCCCCATGGAAGATTAAATCTATCTTTATTGACAGTGGCTATAATTTATTTATTTAACAAACTTATATGGCTGCCCGTTTCAGAATAAAAAAAAATACTCTCAGCATTGTACAGCAACGAATTAAAATAAATGTATAAAACAATTATCCAAAATATCAGAATATACAAAATAATTACAGAATCATGCAAGTCTGATTGTGCTGTATTTTCCCCAAATGTCCTACACTCCTGAGAATCAGGGAAGTGCCTTCCTGAGTCACTTCTGAATATTACCTTGTTTCTTAGGCCTTAAAAAACATTTCAATCTCTTTTGCCTAGATCAGGGGTTCCCAACCAGGGGTGCTTGCACCCCCTGTGGGTGCGAGACAATATTCCAGGGGATGCGAAAACTTGGGTTTTCAAAATTATAGTGTATATACATCATTCATTGCTATTATTTTGAACTTTTGTAAGGGGTGTGAGAATAGATCAGAAGCGCTCTAGGGGTGCGGGGTATAGAAAAGGTTGGGAACCACTGGCCTAGATAATGGTTCTTACACATCCCTATCAAGGTCCTCTTCCTTACTCTGCACATCTTCTCATTATTGTTTTTACTTCTATCAATGGTAGAAATGGACGTGCTGGTGATAATGATGAAAAATTCTACAGCAACTGAACAAGTCAATCCAAAAAAACATGTTTGTAGAAATGACACACTGTCCCTTTTGTTGATTGGAATTTTTATGGAAAAGAACTGAAAACTAATTAAAATATAATCTTCATGTTGGCCACATGACCACGGAAATGCCTTTGTCCAAGGGCTAAGAAATGGAGATGAGTACCACCCCCTAGAGTTGGATGAGGAAACCTTTACCTTTTTACCTTTATAATCATCAAATCATGTTCTCACCTTGGGCCTCTGCAAAACAACTGCAACTCATCCTTCCCTTTTCAGTCCCCAAAGTAGAAAGATAAGGAGCAAATCAGAAGGTGACAAAGAAATCTGAAATGCATAAAAGAGAAAAGCAGTTGTAAACTTTGTCAAAAGGCTAGGATGAACATTTGTCAATATTTGTTAAATCTAAAGCATTAGTCATGGTGCCACACAAAATCAAGTTGCATCATTTTACCGACGTGGCACTCTCCAAACCTGTTGGACTACTCATTCCCAGCCAGGAGGGCAATTGCTTGTGATTTAGGAATTAAGGGCACTTTATTTCTACTCTTCAGGCTGCCCAAGGAACTGAAATACAAGAAGCATCTAATTTAATGTCACTTTACAAGTAGTCCCTGACTTATGATTGATTGCTTAGTGACTGGTCAAACTTACAACAGACTTCCTTGGGGGTAATTATGACCTGGTTCCAAAGTCCCAACAGTCACATGACAGTGTTTTATGGTGGTTTTGCCAATAGCTGGCATTTACTTCCAGTTTTTGGCAAAACTGGCCCATTGGTTTACTGAACAATTTTCTTAGAACGGTAACAGTCACTTAACGACCACAGTCACCTCCCGCCTGGACTACTGTAATGCTCTTTACATGGGGCTCCCTATGAGGAGCATCCGGAGGCTTCAGCTGGTCCAGAATGCGGCCGCGCGGGCGGTGTTGGGAGTGACGCGTCGCTCCCACGTAACGCCGCTGCTGCGCGAGCTGCACTGGCTACCAGTGGCCTTCCGGGTACGCTTTAAGGTGTTAGTTACCACCTTTAAAGCGCTCCATGGCATAGGACCTGGATATCTACGAGACCGCCTTCTGCCACAGATTCCCTCCCACAGACCGGTACGCTCCCACAGAGCGGGCCTCCTCAGGGTG